GATGGTTTCCAGAATAAGAAACACACAGTGGCAGTCTTTGTCGACCTCCAGCAGGCCTATGACAGAGTATGGAGAAAAGGTCTCCTGATGAAGATGATGAGCATAGGAATACATGGCAGATTGTATAACTGGGTGAAATACTTCCTGATAGATAGAACAATCCAGACTAAGATGCACAACGCAATCTCTTCTAAAGAAGTCTTGGAGGAGGGCTTGCCACAAGGCTCATCATTGAGCTGTACACTATTCCTAATCTTTATCAATGACCTGCCAGAACAAATCAAGGCCGAAAAAGCCTTGTACGCTGATGACCTAGCAATATGGCAGAGTCATGAAAATGTGGAAAGTGGAGCCCAAAGACTGAATGGAGACCTTAGAAGACTGCATGATTACTGCCAAAGATGGAAACTCAAGATTAACTGTAGACGGTCTACATAATCTTTACCAAAAGCCACCAAGTAGCAAGGAAGAATATTAACCTGAGGTTAGACAAACACCAAGTGATGAAAGAAGAGCATCCCACATACCTTGGAGTCACACTTGACCCGCAGCTCAGCCTCAAGAACCATATTGAAAACATCAGGAATAAGGCATTGAGGCAGTTACAGTTATTAAAGAGACTTGCAGGTACATCATGGGGATCAGACAAGGAAACTCTGAGGGGCTTATACCTAGGATATGTTCGCTCTGTGATAGAGTACAACAACTCACTGCTTACAACTTGTTCCAAAACTAACCTAGAGACTCTTGACAGAGTACAAAATAATGCCCTCCGATTAATCTGCGGAGCTATGCAGTCTACACCAAACTGCTGCATGTGAAATCCATACAAATGTGGAACCCCTCGGGTTGCGGAGAGAAAAAGCCACTTTAGAAATTTATGAAAGATGCGTTAGGAAAAATCGTAACCATCCTAATAGACATCTTGTAGAAAACTGGGAATCCAAACAAAGAATAAAGCACAAATCGGTTTTACACTGTGTTAATGAAATTCAGGACAGATACCACCTCCCAGAAAGACGTCAAGGAATTCAGAATGTTGCAAAAAACCTACCACCACATGCTCGCTTTAAAGCTCCAGAAGTCCAAACTAAATTGGTAGGCGAGGAAACCAAACAGTCCGACCCAATCTCTCTTATGAACTCATCACTAAAGACCGTTGATTCTTACCCCCAAGAATGGATACATGTCTATACTGATGGATCAGCATTTAAAGCTACCATTAAAGCAGGCTACGGAATCTACATAGGTTATCCCGATGGATCTGTTGAAGAGATTTTTGATGCATGCGGGGAATTCTGTTCAAACTATGAAGCTGAAATAATTGCACTGGAAACAGCAGTATACCACCTAAAGACTGTAATGGATGTTTACCCCTCAAAGGTCCAAAATATTGTCATCTTCACAGATTCAATGTCTGCCCTTCAAGCTCTGGAGGGCAATGAACGCTGCAGAACTGACATAGCCAAGATAATCCTGGATGCCGATCAGCTTATTACCTCATACAACATCAGAATAGTGATGCAGTGGATTCCAGGTCACTCCGGCAGGTCACTCCGGCACACCAGGTAATGACAGAGCTGACAGATTGGCAAAGAAAGGAGCAACACAAGAACAACCACCTACAGCGACAACCCTCCAGACAGCAAAAACACTGATAAGAGCTATAAACAAAGAGACTTGGTTGAACAGATGGGCCATGGGAGACACTGGAAGAGAGGTTTATAGACATATGTCTGGCCCTGATCCTAATGACAGCATTAACCATCTAACAAGAAGGGACCAGGCCACCATCTTCAGACTTAGAACGCAACATACTCCACTCAATGGACACCTAAACAGAATACAGCCACAACACTCCCCAGAGTGCCAGCTATGTAACTACCCCTACGAAACTGTTGAACACCATCTCTTTGAGTGCCCAAAACTCAGTGAGACAAGAAGAACGCTACTCCCTCCGAGACCAGACAAGTGGAACACCTTGTACGGAGGAAAAGAACAGCTTGTGAAAACATGCAAATTCCACTACATGGCATTGGGCCAAAGGGCGAAAGCTCATGCGCCGCTGGATCGATAACAACAACAACAATTCCTGCTCCTTATTTTAGTCCAGATGGACAGGGATGTCAATGTCAGTTACAGCAACAACAAAATATCGCCAGTTAGTGATTTTCAAATCCTTCGAAGACGGAGAGAGCAGTAGTCGGTGGAAGGGGGGGGGGGGGGGTAATGACTTAAATTTAAGAGAACTTAAAGAGCTTTACACGTGATTTTCAAGTTCTCATTACCTAATTTGTTTATATTTTACTAACGCTACCTCCGCTTTTCTATTTTTTACGACTTACTTTGTTATTTACAAGTACATTTGTAGCTTTACTTCCGTCTCCTATAAAAATACAAACAGCTTTAGCATGTGATAACCAAATAACCACTTCTGTACATCGCTAGCGTGAAGCGAAGACACATTTCTATGTTCTCTATTTTCCATGTAGTCAAATTACGCCACAGCAACGCGTGGCCGGGTACAGCTAGTGAATTATAAAGAGCAGTACAAAATATACAACTTTAGAACGGACTGATCCCATGGTTTAGTCTGAACAATGGATCAACATCATTGCACAAGGGTAGTAACCCATAAGTGCTCCTTTCTTCTTCTAACTCAAGCCTAAGTAAGAAGAATCTAACCACAGTGCACAAACTCCGTAGAACTGGCGAGGATTCTGTAATACTTTGGGTAGATTTTTTACTCAAAATTTTGCCAGAGCAGTGCCGTTAGGCTTCTCTTTTTTATTTCCACCTGCCAAGGGATTTTTTACGTGTGTAAGAATACACAGAGGCATCTGGTTTTACCACTCAGAGACTAAGGGACATTACTAGAAGTCCACATAAAAAAATCCCAGTCTGCACTAGGGACCGAAATCGGGACCTCCAGCATTCGATGCGAAAACCATGCCTCGAGACAACTCAGCTACCCCCTATGATCCCATGAAAGCTATGAATGCCTGAAGAAGACAGATGACTCTGCCAAAAGGCACATATATTGCAGCCATGCTGTAAATGAACGGCGCACAATAACATCATAACATGAGTGAAGAAGAAGAAAAAGACGAAGAATAAGCAGAAAACAAGAAGATGAAAAAGAACAGGAGGAAGAGGAGGAGGAGAAGAAGAAGAAGCAGAAAACAAGAAGAAGACAAAGAAACAGGAGGAAGAGGAGGAGGAGAAGAAGAAGTCAAAAACAAGAAGAAAAACAAAAAAAAAGAGGTGGAGGAAGAGGAGAAAGAGAAAAAGAAGAAAAAGAAGAAGTAGTAGAAAACATGAAGAAGAAAAAGAAATAGGAGGAGGAGGAGGAGAAGAAGAAGGAGGAGGAGGAGGAAATGTATTACTATAAAAAAAAAAAGCAAAGAAAAATGATAGACAACCAAGACACCGTATCCACTTACCATCTGCCTGAATTTCTCACACTGAGATTCCTGTGCAGTGATTGCAACTGTGAGCTCCTTGACTCTGTCCTCAAGCTTGATGTTCTCATCGGCTTGTTTCATGTTTCTCTCCTGCAGCTCCTCAACACTGGTCTCTAGATTCTTCACTGCAGCTCTTCGTGTTTCATTCTGTGAGAAAGAATGCACAGGATGGAGGCAGGAAAAAACAATACCTAATGACTGGAAAGTGTTTAAAACAAAAGAAGGGTGAAAGCGTTCCAATGCCATGACAAAATGATGGACAAAGAGGAAGACAGAGGAATATCTGGATGGCTTTGCTATATGGAGGGGGGTGGGACAAGAGCACCAAGTGATGCTGATGATTGTAAGAGATGGCAAAACATGTCTGTTTCCAAAACTTTTCTTGTCGCTGTGCCTTCTTTCAAATAAAATTTTTCCACAGCGCCCTAACCTAGGTAAAATCATGACTATTCGTGACTTGGTTACATTAATTATGAAGCTTTTACAATATTTCGCTGCGCCCCTGTGAAGAGGTCGCGGCTCCCCGGGGCCTCACGGTGCACAGTTTGTGAATCACTCATATACAATTTTCAGCAGGACACTTGATGATGATGACATGATAGATACTGCCAAGATATGAAGAACTAGGCCTTCACATATTCTAGGCAATGGCATAATGAAGTGATGTGGCCACTTCTGTTTCTGGTCTTCCATTTCTCCCAGAAAATTCTGAAAGTTATTCACTATCTGTTTTATGAAGCTAGATCAGTGGTTTTCAACCTTTTCAGGTGGCGCCCCCTGCCACACATTTGAATATAAGGTAATACTCCCCACCACCAACTTAAAGAAAAGAATATCTGATTAAAAAAAGGGGGAAAACAAAACAAAAATCAAACACTGTTAACAAGAACTGTGTTCACCCGTTAATTAGAAATTTTAATGGCAGACGTACAAACTGCGCATGAAAACAAAAACTTCCTTGACTTTCGCTCTACAAACACTTACAATTTTATTTATTTATAATGAGACGGAATCCCCCTCTCCTCCCCCCCCCCCCAATTACAATAGATTATTACAAGTACTATGCAAATTATTAACTACACCCCCCCCCCCCCCCCTCCCCCCCATGTTGAAAACCATTCAGCATGATAAATCTCTGCGGTTTTGGTAGACAAAAATCCTGCCATTACTGGCATTGAATATATATATATATGTGTGTGTGTGTGTGTGTATATATATATATATATATATATATATATATATATATATATATATATATATATATATATATATATATATATATATATATATATATATATATATATATATATATATATAAAGGACCCATTTCATATCAGTGGCACATTGGGCATTTAGTGAGAGATTTATATTTTTTAGAGATGAATTAGCATTTGATGGGGATGATGTGGTCAACATCACTCAAGCTGAAATTTTGGATGAGAACAGCTTCGTATGTTTTTCTATTCCTCCATGATATTCTTTGAATTTTTCTCAGAAACCACATCTCTGCCACAAGTACATTAATTATATGCTAACCTCATTTTGAGATGATCTGAGCTGGGACCTCAAGTATTCTGCTTCTTTCTCCGCTTGAGAAATCTAAAAGATAAGATCGTTTACAAAAATGTATAATTAAAGCCAATAACAAATAATATAAAAATGAATAAAATAATAATTTCACACACACACACACACATATATATATATACATATATATTTATATATTTTCCAGTGTTTAGAAGAGCAGAATATATATATATATATACACTCACTGTGTCTGTAAAGTCATGGCGCACTTTTGACTGGTCACAGGAAAGCAACAGAAGAAGACAAAAAATGTGAAATCTGTCCCAAATAAAAGGAAAACTCTCCAAGTTTCTTTCAGCATTGAGCATCAAAACCTCACTTACCTGTTCTTCATATCTGCTGCAGAGTTCTTGCAACTTCATTATGTCCATCTTCATTCGCACCAAACCCTCATCTTTATGTTTCATCTGTAAGTGAGGCAGTAAGAAAGAACATTAATATTCAGCAAACATATACAATCAGGCAGTACGGTTCAGCAAATGTATACACTCAGGCAGTAGGGTTCAGCAAAAATATACACTCAGACATTAAGGTTCAGCAAAAATATACTCAGACGTTAAGGTTCAGCAAAAATATACACTCAGACATTAAGGATCAGCAAAAATATACATTATGGCAGTAAGGTTCAGCGAAAATATACAATCAGGCAGTAAGGTTCAGCAAAAATATACACTCAGGCAGTAAGGGGGAACTTTGATCTTCAACAAATATACAACTCAGGCAGTAAGGGAGAACACTAATGTTCAGCAAATATATACACTAAGTCTGGCCAAATGAATGTGATCCTTAAATACATTTATTTCATACAGGAGATCATATGGGATTGTTGCTGGGGCTTATACAATTTGTATTTTATGTGAGTTCTCAGCACAGGGTCACTGCTCTGTAGATTAAGAGTGAACCTGATGGAATAAAACATGGTGCAGTGAAGTTAGCTATTGATCATTGTGAACCTTTGTCCTCATGCACTACCATGTACGGTTCAGTACTTCAGCATCTTAAGTTTCCCCTATGATAATTAAAGTCAGTTACGCTATTAGCGTTTCCTTCAACATGTACCTCTGAACTGAGGACATCCTGCTCAGTCTGGGCGCTGATAGCAAAAGCCTGAATCCTGGCTTCCAGCCTGCCATTCTCTTCAACAGCATCCTTGTACTTCTCTTTGGCGTGATCAAAATCATGCTCCAACTGCTGCAGGCTCATCTCTCGATGCTGCACCTGGGGAATGAGTAATCAATGGTGAAATAGTTATGCTTCAAAATGAAACTGTCAAAATGTCCCTCTGCTGTTTCAGTTAACTGATTATATTATGTTAAAAACCAAATCTGGAAAGAATGATGCAGTGGGGAGTGTCGGCTAGCTCTGTGCTCAACCCGAGACTCAAAGGAAAGGCAAGATGAGTAGTTAACCAGATGACAATGGGTACCATCAGTACGAAACTCTTCACTGGCGGTTGAAGGAGGAGACAAAGCTAATATGGAATTGTCCTGAGTGATGTATGTTGAATCAATACCCAGATGAACCCAGATATTACTTTCATCTATGAGAGATGGCAGCTACAGAAGCATAATGGCTTGCCTGCCAACCTTAACCCTTTCACTGCTACGTTCCCGGAAATAGTTGTCTGCCCTGTGCTAAGCAATGTGAAAAAAAAAGTCTCTGCTGTGCGCAATACTTTTCTATCCTCCAAACACAAAAGATGTGTCGGCGGTGAGGGCTATATTTTGTACACCTAAAATTTTTTACCCTGGGGAGTTGTGTGGTTGGTCTGAGTGGTGACAAGTCAGAGGCACGATGGTGCCCCACAAACTTGACTATCGGAGCTATCACCCTTCTGGGGGGGGGGGGGGGGGGGGAATTAATGGGAAGAACTGTTCCCAGTCCGTATCCCAAAATTTGATTGACGAACCTACCACGGCTGCCACTTTAATCATAGTTATTTGTAGTCACCATGTTATTACATACCAAAATAATAATAAAAAAATATTAATAATAATACTTGAGTCGTCCGTTGCTGAAAAGTAGCAGGAACTGAAAGGAAAATTTACAATTAATAAAAAAAAAAAAAAAAAAAAATTTGGGGGTTGAACACAAGACCCTCCGATTCTAAAGCTAACGTGATACCAACTACACTATGCTACCGCTTGACGCATTGCGCTGTGTGAATGATAATGAATAATGTGCGCAGACTATCAATAACGTGTCTAAGCTTGTAGTCTATCGCGGCCTGCATGAGCACTGTTGTCTGAGAAATGTTTCAGATTCTCAACAATAGTAAAAATATGTCCCTCGACATTATTTTACGGGAGTTTTTAGCAAACAGTCTTTGCTCAAGTACTCTATTTTGAGTTTCTTTGTTCTAAGCATTAGCAGACAGACAGCAAAAAAAAAAAAAAAGTTCGTCCGAATCTGGGCTCTCCTTGCAAATCCGGACGAGGGTTGGACGCGGGCTGGACGACTTAGTTCAGTTTAGTGGGAGTTCTCTCCCTTGGCCGCACTCGAAACAAGTAGCGGAAAAAGTCATGAATCAAACAAGACAGTGAGGTCCACATCAGGGCTGCCAATGCTTGGGTGTGTCCCCCAGATCTGGGTTTTTTTTTTTGACACTGCGGGGATATCTGGTTTTTTTTTTTTTTTTCCGATCTGTATGCTTTAATGACCGATAAATTTGCGTGGTTAAGGGTAGGGGTAGGGGTAGGATTAGGGTTAGGGTTAGGGGTTAGGATTAGGGGTAGTGTTAGGGTTGCCGTAAGGGTTAGGGGTAGGGTTAGGGTTAGGGTTAGGGGTAGGGTTAGGGGTAGGGTTAGAGTTGGGGTTAGGGGTAGGGTTAGGTTTAGCGTTAGATGTGACAATTTTGACGCCATAGTTCCCTATAATCGCGCACAGGCACATACACACTCAAACAGTCGACGGACGGTGGATGCTACTGACACGGACAATTCGCCACCGATTGGGCACCAGCCGCCCGCTATTGGCGTCATATTTGGCAGAATTTCAGTGGCGCCACTCCCACAAGCATCAGATTGTCGGCCACTATTTCGACCTCCTACGTGAAAATTTTCACATCTAACCCTAACCCCACCCCTAACCCCACCCCTAACCCTACCCCTAACCCTACCCCTAACCCTACCCCTAACCCTACCCCTAATCCTACCCCTAACCCCTCCCCTAACCCTAACGTTAGCCCTAATCCAAACCCTACGCAGCCCTACACGCAACAGTATGATTACAACGCAACCCTTCAGGCAACCATATGATGGCATCGCAACCCTACACGCAACCGTACGCAACCTTACACGCAACCGTATGATGATAGGTAAGTATGTAATTTGTTTCGTGAACTTTTCCGCTCACTGTTTCGAGTGCGGCCAAGGGAGAGAACTCCCACTAAACTTAACTAAGTTGTCCAGCCCGCGTCCAACCCTCGTCCGGATCTGCAAGGAGAGCCCGAATCTGTGTCTGTCCATCGGGAAAGACGAGAATTTTTAGTGACTGAACTGTTTGAATTTACAGTAGCAGAAATACAGATAGAGCTGGAGTCATCAAAATTATGCACTACTAGGTTTCAAATCATCGGTTCATCAAGACAACTGATCAATTTATTGCCGTTTTGATGGCGCTTCATTGTCGCTGCTCTCTGATTCCGACGATGAATACGTCGGACAGGCAAACAGCTTTTTTTTTGGACACGCCGGTTTCAGCAATCGATACAGATGGCCTAGTTAAATCTTCTTGTTCACTGTCAGAAGTACACATTTCAAAGTCATCTTCTCTATCACTTCTTGACAGAAACTCCATCAATTATTCATCAACTTTAACAAGTTTTCTTGCCATTTTGTACTAAGTGTAGAATAATCCAAAAGCACAAATATATATCAGGGCACAAAATACACAGATCACCGACCACGCTGTCACGGTAAACAAAGCAACGGGATAACGCAGAATGCAGTAAACACACCTTAAACACACCTAAAAGCACGTGCCAGTGCTTTTAATCATATGTAAATGGGTCAGTTTAATCTAAATATAGCTAATGTATATTGCCCTTCAGCCAATAAAATACGAGGTAACAGAAATCTGTAAGAAAAGTCCAAAAACGGCTTGGGACGTCCATAGCACTGGAGGTCAAGAAAAAAAATAACGTCCAAAGACCGGTGTAGCAGCGTACGGGAAATCGGGAAAAGACGTCCATAGCAGCGAAAGGGTTAAGATCTTGGGTTCAAATCCAGTATACCCAGATTTCACAGTGTTGATTTTTAAATCAGCAATAAGTCAATATAAAGACTGTGCAGATAATAGGAAAAACAGCAGGAAAGGGAGCCGGACAACACAGTACAAACATATTCTGGCAAACATATTTTTCTAGGTCAATACAGTAATAGAACAGTTGGTTTTTGTTTGTAAGAACACATTCACAGCTCTTTTATCATCACTGTATCTTCTTGTCATCATCTCTTACTGACAACATCAATCATGCTTACATATGTTTGGCAACTATGTATTTGTAGGCAACTAAATGGTCATAAAACACACTGATACACATATTTTGGTAAAGAAGCAACTGGTTTAACTGGTAAAGATACATAAACAGTGCTTCTCTCATCACTTCTAAAAGCATCAGCTAATCCCTTCTGTCACTTCATTTCTTATTTATCACAACAGCTAATCTCTTCCTTCCATCAATGCTTACTTACTACAGCAGCTAATCTCTTCATCACAACAGCTAATCTCTTCCTCTCATCACAACAGCTAATCTCTTCCTCTCATCACAACAGCTAATCTTTTCCTCTCATCACAACAGCTAATCTCTTCCTTTCATCACAACAGCTAATCTCTTCCTCCCATCACAACAGCTAATCTCTTCCTCTCATCACAGCTAATCTCTTCCTCCCATCACAACAGCTAATCTCTTCCTACCATCACAACAGCTAATATCCTCCTCTCATCCC